ATTAGGTTGAATGAAATTTTGTTTCCTGTAAACAATATAAATTTTAACACTCTGGTCACTGTAAAAAAAACAAGGTAAATACCTTCTTTATGCATTGCAGGTCCACAGATTGGAAATGTCATAATTTGCCTAAGACAATTAACTGAAGGTTACACTTCATCATTTGGTTGCACAAAAGGAAATTCTAATAGAGTTTCAAAGTGCAGAAACTGTTCTCAATCCAATTGCAAATCAAGTTGTTCAGATTCTCCTGATTACCAAACATGAAGTGATTTGATGCACAGCTGCAATTTCCCCAGACCAGTCTTCAGTGTTAGCTTCTGATAAGGCTCTTTTAAACCTTCCTTTACCAACTTCAGACACTCTTTATAAGTTAAAGTCAATACAAATATAAAAAGGAGATGGTACTCTAACTTTAATGACATCCACAAATTGTACATTATTTACAAAAGAAGCATAGATTTAACATGGATCTTACCTGTCCTCTGCTTTTTTAAGCCAGTGCTAATGCTTTACATTAATGTAGTGTAGTAAATGCTTTGTACACATATACAAAGCTAAAGTCTGAACCTTTGAGGTTAATCCAAAGAACTGTGTTTATTTTTCACATTTCTATTAGATTTATTTATTCCAACAATTGTATGGGCTTCTTGTTAGCAGTTAGACTCTTCGTACTTGGACTGGCATTGTGGTCTGAACATACTGAACTCCAGTTCTCATTGCCACTGTCCCAGCAGAAGGACTTACCACTACAGGAATGGTCTGTGGATTAAAACCAAGAGAGACATATTGTTATGTTAAAGGTCACACAAACATGACCACAGAAATAGAGATTTATTTTCCATGGAAAATCCAGAGCAAGGTCTAATTTTGTGCAAGAATTAATACCTTTATTACCGCAGTATTACCTAAGTCCAAGACAGAAAGTAGTGTTTTACTGACTTTCCTTATATACCAATTCTTTTTTATTACTATTACCTTATAATTACAGGGGAAGGTGGTCCTATAGGTACTGTACATATTCTGCCTATGCTTGGAGAATTATGTTTTCATAGTTATTAAATCCAGTTATGTATTTGCTCAAAACTAATACACAAGGAAAGAGAAAGGGCTAAGAAAATGCTCTGTCATTTGAAAAAGAGTTTTGACAAATCATACTGGAGTACAAAAATACCCTTATTTAAAAGTATATTCTCATTACACATTACTTAAATATTTTTCATCAAAAGGAACTCCTCCATGCATTCAGTTGACATAGAAGAGAACATAAAACATTTGTTTGAACAAAAAAGTACTTTAAGTTAACTTTTGCACAAATCTTAACAAAACCATCAGCATCACTGGAAGCTGTCTTGTACTCCCTGCAAAAATACTAATATAGAATAAACTTTGCGCTTTCATCATACAGATCATGATTTAGAAATGTTAACAATGGAAGTTCAGGACATCTCCACAGTAATTGATTCACTCTATAGCACTGATTCTACAGATGGAGAGACAAAGGCACAAGAATGTTAAACAATCCGGTCGAGGTCACATCACTCTGGAAGATCTGGAAAAGGATTTATTGACTCTTGAGACTGAACCTCCAGAACCTTGAGGAAGTTCAGCAATTCTAAACCATACACACTGCAAGTATGTCTTGATACAGCTCCACTGATGCACGACTGGTGGTTAAACAAATGCATCCATTTCAGTTCACGTGTTTTAATGTGGAAGAATCAAGAAGTGGGATTTTGAGGAATCTGAAAGGGATGTACAGGCCTTTCCCATGATGTTAGTGTAAAATTCCCAAGAGAATATGGAAGAAGAAATACAAGTTCACTGAAGCCTAATGTTTCCCCGCACTGTATTAAGGAACTACATTAGTGTCTTGATGGAGTTCAACAAAGGCTGTGGCTATTCCTACTGATATTACAGCCTAGAGTGTTTATTGGTGCCTCTGTGACAAAGTCTTTGTCTTCCAGAAGCCTACCATTCCATGCCCTGGAATGCAAAGATGAAGAATAAGTATTTTGACAATATTTTAACTGCAAAATGAGTAAAAAACAAACATGGAATCAATTTTCTAGATCAATTCAAGACTACTGCTATTTGTTAACCAAAGGATTTCAGATGTGTAATGAGGGGTCAATGGAAATGGTACAAAGAAGATTTACTGGAAGTTGTTCAGAGAAAGGAATTCCTAGTCGGAAACAAAGTGCAAGCTGAAGCCTACAGAAGCCATTATATAAGCCATTATAGCACTACACGTGGGGAACTTAAGGTTGCCACAGTGATCTTTTAAATATACACACTCAGACAAATGAAAAAATAAGTTTCAGTTCTTATAGTGATCAGGATATGGAATGTGCAAGACTCCTTAAATGTATTAGGATCATTCCCTGAGAGGTAATTTTTCCACCTCTGCCAGTTTTTCACAAATGTACATTCTGCATACATATTAACATGCACTAAGGTTTAAAAGTATTTAAATTGCACGTGCAATCATTAGCATACAGAGGTGTCTGTAGCTGTGCAAGACTTATGCAAATATGTGTACAAAGTTTCAAACATGCACAAATAAAAGCTGAAACCTTTCAAACTTTCCAATTATGTTTTACATAAACTCAATATGCTTTGTATTACAGAAAACTGATCAAGATAATGGCCATATTTCTGAATATTACATGAAACCACATTATGATCATAAAACCTCTCAGCTATTCACAAAGAACCTAACTTGCTTGATGCTTGCTATTGATTTAAAAATACATAAAAACCTTGTTGTTATAGCAACTCAGTCCGAGTAATTTAGGGCCTGTCTTGTGAATGCATAGTGCTCTCAGTTGAGATAAAATGAGTTGAGTTAAAATGCTGTTAGGAATGTGAAAAAAATCAGGATACCCACTAAAAGCACTAACATTTTAGTATGGAGTGTGATGGTTATGAAGTACTAAATGTGCGTGTGTGTGTGTGTGTGTACACAGACATATATACACATCCACTCATGTATGTTACACCTGCCACATATATATGTGTGTGTATAAACACACACATATATACATATATGTCACACATATATACATATATATATATATGTATATAGTAACTTTTTATAGCACAATAGACCTCACAATCACAGTATGAAAACTATTTAACTTCAGCCAGAAGATGAACTGAAGTTACCTAAAAATGGGCTTCTCCTGTTGAACCCACTGCTGAGAGGGGCCGTGCAGGTGAGTTACCAGTGCAATATGAGTATTTTTGTTTTTGGAAAGAATGTCAGCTCAGATCCCATACTGCCTCTGAGCACTGCAGAACACGACCAGTTTAAAAACGTGATACTTCAGTGCGTTAAAACACAAAAATGAACTTACTCTGTCCCATCACCGGTCACTGACATTAGGTAATTCGAGTGTCCTTGGTTACTTTTCAATGGAAAAAAACAGGACTGATCCTAAATGTTATTTTTCATAATTTCATAATGCTAACGTACAAGGCTGCCTAGGAGATGCACTACTGATAAATGTGTATTTTCCCTCATAGGTACTGAGATGTCACAGAAATATCAAGCATAGGTCAGGATTATGCAAATTTTTTTTTTAGGATACCACAGATAAAAAGATATTTTAAATGAATCCTATATATTTACATCCATGTCGTGGTCAAGTAAGTACATGAAACGGACAAATAACTAACACAATAATGTCCAATGGAGGTCTGGCTGTCCTCAGCCCCTTAGCTCTACTTAATGCCAACGTCTGAATCTGTTATCATCAACGATGAAATGAAAGATATGCCAAGGGTGGAATGTTGCACAGCAAAATAAGACATTTTGCACTGCAAGTTGAGACTACACCAGTGAATTCATATCTGGATAGAACAGCAGATGGAGACAACCCCCCAGAAATACTGAGCAATTTTAATGCCAGGAACAGTGCTACTGCAGACTTTAAATGATGATGTTGTACTTACAATTGTGGGTTGAGTAGTTGGAATATAGGTGGTGGTCTGCGGTACCTGGACCAGTTTTATAGGCTGGTTGCTTGTCACACCTGTTGCTATCTGCAGAGACAGCACAGGCAACCTCAGTAGAAGTCTCAGCTTTTACATAAATTCCACCTAGTTATTATTATTATATGAAATTTATGTTGGATGTTTGGTTTGTGTTAAAAATTTGCATCTTAATGAATTCACAGGTTACTTCTTTGTTAATAAAACAAAATTCAAATTATGAACATGATCAATGTATACAGCATGATGTTTCAGCCTATGTGAAAGCAATTCCAGATTTGTATAATTGGAATAATCCCTGGCAGAAGTCCTGGTAATTTGGCTTTCTCCCATCCCCTGTTCCCCCCAAAATACAAAGGATGTGCAGCCACAAACAATGCACGTGAACATTGACCGAGCCAGAGAAATTCAATTATCTTCACCAACGCATTCCGGTGGAACAGCACATCCTTCTTTGCCTCTTCAAAACTGTTTCCCGAGTTACTCCCTTGGAGGACATGTTATATCCAGAGCTCTAACACCAGACAGTACCAAAAGTGTCAAGAAATGAACACAGCTCTCTAGGTTACTATGCTTCCCAATTCTAGAGGACTATCTCAATGAGACATCATGCTGGAATCACAATACTATTGAAAAACATGAGTTTGCTTTTAATATTTAAAAATACAACAGGCTCCTACTGATGTGAGGGATCATGTGAAAGGGTCTGAAAGATCAGAGCCCTGTGAAATTTTGCATTTAATAAATCTTGCAAGGGCAGAAGAAAAATGCTGCTGACATTGGTAATAGTCAAGCCCTACCTATGAAGCAGAATCTTTTCTATAAACATTTTTCTGTATATGCAATGTTAAGTCCCTTTTATGAGAGCATTTGCTCATCCTTGCCTACTGAATGCTATCAGAGTAGATGCTATGGAGGCTTTCGTAACTGCACACTGCTCCGTTAACTGTAGATCCAGGTGAATTGCTGTATCAGTGTTATGGAACATTGTGGTACCCTAATGGCAGTCTGTTGTGATAAAGTAAGTTGATTTGAATGCAGGTCTTGAGCTTGGCCTCTGAACCCCCAGGCAAGAAGGGCTTGGAAGTGCTGCAGTCAGTATTGCTTATCAGAAGGCAACTTGTATCGAAAGATCCAGATCAGAAGCTACACTGATGGGTCCTGGAGAGAGAGAGAGAAAGAGGTCCAGTCCCCCTTGGCTGGAAGGATGAGTCAAGGCAACACAAGGTTTTATTGGGAATGAGCAGAGGGGAAAGGGTGTTCCCAGAGGACAGAAGGAGGGTTTTTTTGCCAAGATGAACAAAAACAAAAATAAAACCACAACTCCCTATCTCACTCCCCAAAAACAACACTTTTTGAAATACGCAAATGGTTAAAAATTCCTGGCTGATCCAGGGATATCTTTAAGGGTACATATAAGATATATCTTACAGATTATTTTTGTTTAAAGTGACTACAATGATACTCACTGTAACACTCTCTTTGCTTTTATCAGTTGAACCTTCCTTTTCCTTGGGGGTGCTGGCTGTTTCTGTGGGTGTAGACTGCACACTTGAACTGGGCTGGGATGATTTATTTAATGTTTCTGTGCTAATTTCAGTATCTGTTTCTTGCTGTGTTGCAGTAGCTAAAATAAAGGAGGAAAAAAAAGGTGGAAAATAGTCACTGCTCAAGCAAATGAAGATTACTGGATCATTGTAAATTCTATCCCCCCTTATTTCCTCCTCTGTGAAATAATCAATCCAGAGCAACATTACCTGACTGCGTGCAGGATTTCATATGCTCAGGCCAGTGAGCTTGTTGGCAGGGATAATCACAGTAGCTGGTATTCCAACAGCAATAAAAAATGGCCTCTTTCTTGCAATTGGCACACCACTGCTTCTTTTTTGTTTCATCCACTGCTTGCTGCTTTTCCAATTCCAGCTGCTTTTTCACCTCAGCAATCAAACGGTCTCGTTCCTGTTCTAGACTCTGACGCATTTCAGCCATTGTCAGTTCTACTCAGGATAAAAGGAAAGAGGAGTTTGCATATTTTCCCAACAGCAATGTGCAAAGCAATAGCTTTTTCAAGTTTAAGTGTCAATACGAAATTGCAGCTAATTGCAGTTTCAGACTCCATGAGCTTGGGAATTTCTGATTCACGTTTCCAGAAAAAAACCATCTTCCACCCCCTTTTCTTCTGCCACCATCATTTTTACTCTTAATCATTACCTACCATTTATAACACTTTTTTCCTAAATGTTCCACAAAGATTCAGAATGCCAGTGTACCATATGCAGCATAAACACAGAAAGTTGCTATTAACCAACATTATCTTTGAAAGACCAAAACATCCTTAGGGGAAATCTTATTTATTCTCTCTCCTTAGGAATAAGTAACAGGTGATTTCTTCTTCACTGTACCTTGGCTTCCTTACAAAGGAAAACATGGAAGTTGCAAGAGGGAAACTGATAAAAACGTAAGAACAATACCACCACATGTAAATTTGAGCCTCATTTTAGGATTTTTCTGAGAGGTATCTACTACTGATTTATCTGTAAATGGATACCTAAATCATCATGAGTAGTGAGAGAAAGAAAGCTTGATATAAAACTTAAGAGACTGGGCAAGTATGAACTGCAATTGCAGCTACCTTGTCTTAGGATGAATGTTAGAGTGAAACACTCTGAAAGCTGACATACTTTCAAAGTATTATTTAAAGGTGTTTTTTTAAATCCTTTTTTTTTTTAAAGTCTGAGCACACCTAGACATTCACTCATTCTACGAGATGCAGCCAAGTTGTTGCCATACTCAAGTATTTCTGAAGAGTGCTATAACTGCACTGCAGAGTTGGAGAAACTGGCCTGCTTTGAACTGAAAGAGCAAAATGCTATGAACAAAACAAAAGCATAAGGACCTACTCAGCTGCAAAAATTCAGCCCTTACTCTCCCTTCCATTCCAGATGTGCTCTGCAAAAAAAGGCAAAAGGTGGACTAGGACAGCATGAGACAATCCTAAGGCTGTTTGGACGGCATGTAGGTTAAAGGAGACTAACTTCTCAGTTAAAATCTTCTTCCCACAGCTAGTGTACTCAATAAATATAATCTGGGCATCATTTTTCCTGCCCATAAAGTTCAGTTAATGTAGAGGTAAATTCCTCTCTCAGCGCTAAAACAACCTCTGTTTATTACTAAGATGCAAAGATAAAAGTGACTTAGAATATGTACTGGAAATGTGTCTATTAATATGAGCCTAGCACATTCTGTAACCTTTTGTATCCTTCATATGGGTAACTTCATACAGGTATTTAAATTTTCTATTATGACCAAGACTGACAAACTATTTTGGACTGCTGTTTTCATACCTAGATTATGCTTCATTTCTGAGAGCTCCTGTTGATGCAACCATTGAAGTTTTTCTATCTCAATCCTCAAACGACGAATCTAAATATTAAAGAGTTAAGATTTAATAACAACAATGTGCAGCATATAACACTTAATTATTACATAGTGAAGTATGCCCAAAATAAAAAGCCTGATTATCATTTACACTAAGGGCCCTTTTCATTAGTAGGAGAACAAGAGTCAACCAAAAAAGTCTAAATTATTTCTGCTTGCTAGATTTTCCTATCATATAAAGTACAAAGCCTGTTGAAAACACAAAGCATTTCTACAAAACTCACTCTTTCTTCTTCTGAAATTTCTCTGATTGAGAGAATTTTTCTGACTGAATTCAAATCCCATCCCTCAGGTTTTCTTTCTTTTCATTTGGATGCTATTATAATTTTTAACTAGACCAGGTTTAGGAAAGTATGTTTTTCATTCGCTGTGGACTGGAAATACATTGTCACATTTGGGTCAATATAGGTTCATACTGTATCATTAGCTTTCCCTAAGTTAAGAGATATTTAAGATAGCAGCTATCATTTCCGAAGAAAATGTCAATCTGCACTTCATACACAGTGAACAGTAAACAAAAGATGATAATATGGTCAGCAAACTGAAGAAGAAGTATTAAAAATATATCATAATTACATAGCTGGATAAGCTATTATACTACCAGTAAATTAAAATTTTCTGGCAGATAAATACTTGCTTTAAGAAGTGATACTTTAACATTACTTCATTTCTGATAGTACTCTTAAATCCACACTTAAAATATCCTTAAGGATCTGGACTTGATGGCTTACTGCTTTTTTTCTCCTTAATGTGTAGAACCCCAATATTTTTTCAGTGTATTTCTCTTCCAGACTAGTCATTTTTTATACAACAGCACGGGAACTAGGATCTTTATACAGTCTTAATTTAGAAAACTTTGCTATAAGGCATATATCATAATTTAGTTACTGATTACAGAATTTATATATATTATACTATTTTACTACTTTCTAAGTTAAATATAAGCAGTATTATTATTTTTTTTTTCAATCTTACACTAACCTCAGCTATTGTACTTCCAGTGGTATTTTTTGAAAGATCATTATATATTTCAGTCATTGTTCCTTTGATGGCATCCATCATCTAAAAGACAAAAGGAAAAAAGTTTATTAGGGGTATGTTTCGGGTATAGCTACCCATTTCATCCTGCTTTTAAACACTCCAATATGAACATACTATTAGCATCAACAATGCCACATACCCATACACCTATTTGGCTGAATTTATTTAGAACACAGAAAATTTTAGATCGGGACTCTGATTTTTAAAGTGATGCTCTCAAGACTGACAGTTGCATCACAATCCTGAGCTAGTAATCTGGTTTACCTCCTTCCCTCCAAGAATATTGGCATTGATACAACATAGGAACAAACAACAGCTGTAAATTTAGGGAAGAAATGCAGTACAACAACAGAAAAATAAAAGATGAAGAAGAAAGAGACATTTACTGATAATTCTGATCACTGACAATCCCAACAAACTCGTACTGTTGAGGACACTGGGAGTTGATAGTTGAGATTAATTCTGCTACTTTTTTTACTTCTGGGTTCTCAACTTTACTACCTTATATAGTATTCAGACTTTTTAATTTTAAGACCTAAGAAAGCATTCCAAAGCTGACCTCCCTCTCCTCACTGTCACTATTCATTAGGACGATGCATGTATTTTAAAACATCCCATTTACAACTTGGCTTGTTCTAAAGCGTCAACATACCCTTGTGGTAAGTTCCCATCTGATTAAGCTGCACACTGTTTTAAAACAGCACTGCTTTTGTGTATATTACTGAAAACAAATGATGAAATATTAACATTTACTATAAATTTGACAATTCTTACATACAGAAAGTGGTTTAAAACACAGTGCAATGCAACAACAACAACAACGCCTCGGAAACAAGACAGGGAACAGATCTAAAATACCTGGGCAACTGAAGTCTACAGTAAAATCTATGGCATAAAATGGCAGCATTGAGCCAGCTGTACAAGAATGGCTCATCACGATAATCAACATCCTGCTGATACTGTCCAGCAGATATAAACCTGCCAGACACAACCACCTAATGCTCACTGATATCAAAACAAAATTTTTATTTCAGATTTTGAAATTTCATGAGAAAATTTCATGAAAAAAATTGCTCAAGAACTTACTTTGCTAGTGTATTTAGCAATATCTGCAGCTACATCTGCTGAAGCTGTTGCTATTGGCAAATCTGCATTAAGTGAAGAAAGTGTACTTGCAGATCCAGAACTCGTAACCATAGAAATAGGCTGAGTACTTGTAACCAAGGTTATGGTTGATGTGGAGGTGCTTTGGGTGATCTCTTTTTGTTGCACAGCTACAAAGAGAAAAACATACAGATCAACCACATAATCACATAGCGAATATGAAAATGAAAAGGCAAACTTCTAACTTTAATACCTATTAAATATATGCACACAACCATTTATAAGGTTTGTATTATCTATAAAATAACGCCATTTAATCAGTTATGAATAAATAATCAGCACCCAGCCTCTGAACACACAAACAGTTACAAGGATTAAAACTAGTAAACACAACTTCCAAACTCAAAATTTGTAGTCTAGCTAATATAAAACTTTCCTTGAATGTGAATTTTGACTTCTTCATTCCACTTCCTAGGAATTTACCTCCTAACCTCTCAACCTGGGTAATTCCCAAACACTATCATAAATATTAGCACAGGTCAAGTTTTTGATATTTCCATTTGTTGCAGCTTTTAAAGTTTGGGTTTTTTTTTTCCATTCTGAAACAAGATTTTGTCACCCACTGTTCAACAAACGCCTTTTAGTCTTATTTCCTGACGTTATTTCTATAATTAATGCTATTATTATCGTTAGTTTTCTGTTGTGACATGTTTGCTATATAAATCTAGCTCAACATTAGCCTTTGGTTAGCTGCAGAGCAAGGCACGCAAGATTAGACTGCACTGGGTATTTCAAAAATGAGAGTAAAAATCAAAATGAGAAAAATCTGATTTTCATAATATAAGCGGCCTTGCATCCCCAAAAGAGATTTTTTTTTAAGTAAAAGTTCTTCAAAATATCTGCATGCCGTATTCTTTCATTTACACTGATTTAATATATAAGAAAACTATATACTTTACAGTATTTCCATCTGAAATATTTCTGGCCTATAATACTTAGGACAGAGCATAGCTATGATGCACTGAATAGTCAATATATTTATAAAGCAAACTTATATACTGAATATTTAAAGTTTGGTCCATAGCATTATGCTCTTATATAAGTGTATGAATCTAGTAAAATAGGAATTCTGAGTTCGATATTTATTTTTCTCAAAGAATACTTTGTGTCAAAGTCACATGGTCTACACGTAGAAAGATACAGCTTCTTAGAGACTGTCTAAAAGTAGTTTGGGAACAGACAGATTTTACTGATACAAGTCTGTATGTGCTTCCTGTTGTATCTCTCTTTTGTCACAAATTACTGCCTTGACAGCACTGTTAGCAGAATGGAAAATACCTGCATATACCAGGCACACCAGTCGACAGTCCAGTCTATTAACCTGAAACTACTAAGCAAGCTAGATTTCCATAAAGTTACTGGTTGTGAAGTGAAGCAGTTAAGGCATGGACTTACATCATAGTACTAGGGAAACCTCTGGCAAAGGGAGGATAAGAAAACAGTTGTGGAAACCATTTCAAAATGCTATTGCTGTTTCAGTGAACTAGCAGCACAGTCCTGACAAGTTTTTCTCATTAGTAACAGGGATTTCAAAAATCTGCCTAGTCTGGGTAGTTTCTTTGTCCTCAAATTAAGCTTTACGAAAGACTGAACTAATCAGCTTCTGGTCAGATAAAACTAGATCCAGTTGGTACATAATGAGATATGAGCAGTAATCATGCAACTGGAACAGAGTTAATGATTTTATCATTTCATCTAGAAAATAATTCCGCTCACTCTCCCAAATCTATGGTGGCTGATAATGGCAGAAATATACATACACACACAGAGACACACACACAAACTTTTCGTCATTATAATAAGCAGACATGACTCTAAATACACACCAGAAAGAGCAGGTATGGTGAGTAAGTTGTTGTATTTTTAAAGTCACTTATCAGAGAAGAACCACACTTTGAGATTTTGTTTATATGAAGGAATTCCCGGTTAGGCAGCCTTGCAGCACTGAGATCACTACTGGGGAATTATGGCATCACGGGCACATTGAGTTAGAAAGTGTATACCTTTAACTGCTTGTCTTGTCTGATATCTTGTCCCTTGAGAGGACTGAGGTTGCTGTGACTGAGACTGCTGGTTCTGCTGTTGCTGCTGCCTCTGCACCTTCTGCATGTGCCATTTCTGAGACGATGTCTGAAACTTATTTGAGGAATTCCACACTACTCGCTGCACAGCGGGCGCAGTTTCCTTAGGTAGGAGAGGCCTCTGTTTTTTCACAGGGCTCCCAGTGGCTGCAGAGGGAGCACTCACAGTAGAAGTAGCACTAGTAGTCGCTGTCACGCCAGCTGGCGGGGTCTGCGTTGAAGAGCGGGTAAGTACTGGGCTTTCTGATGGGGGCTGAGTGCTTGCACTGGAAGAAGGTGGAGTTTTACCTGCAACTAAACAGAGGTAAAATGTAATAAGAGCTTTCCCTCATCACATCTGATCTGTAATTCCCCATCGTTTCTTTTGAAGAAGGAAATGCTAAAGTTTCAGCTGAGCATCATAAAAATTTGCAAAAAGAACTCTAAATTGTTGGCAGAGCACATTACATACGCTTATGGTTCTATGCTGCAGAAAGAAAACTCAATGAAAGATTTCTTATTTAAAAAAAAAATATAACAGGGACTGAAAACACTTTCTTCATAGTCAAAAAGAAAGAAAAATCACACCAAAAAGTCACACAACTTACTTGTTTAGGTAAATATTTTCATGTACTAATGATGCTAACAGCTAGAGGCCTCATTTAACTTGTCTTTGATAATATTAAAAAAAAAAAAGCAGAAACAAAATAAGTCTGTTTGAGAGGCATCTTAATGCAAAAATAAAGTGAAAAGCTAAGGCATTCTGTAACTTCGATTAGATAATACCCCTAAAGTAAGGGAGAAAAAAAAAGAAAACATTTAATCCTACCATCTTGTTTAGAAGGTAGCTCTTTAGATTCTTTCTTGTTTTTCCGTCCTTCACGCCCACAATGATCATCTCCAAGATCGATGACAAGTTCACTCTCGGAATCAGAGTCCAGTCCTAGATGCACAGTTGGAGAGTCTGTTTCATCTTTACCTTTCAGTTTTTCTTTTGCAGGATGTTGCAAACTTTTTCCCTTTTCAGAAAACTCTTTTTCAGTGTCTGTAATTGCCTTTTCTTTAACTGGATCATCTGTTTTCTCCACTTCTGGACTTGTGCATTTAAGTTCCTCCTTGTCTTCATTCTGAGATGGGGGCTTAGATTTTTTTTTCAATGTCAATGATTCTTTGTCACTTCTTGCACCTTCCTTGTCCTCTCCATCTTCCTGATCATTCTTTGATTTCTGATCCTCATCACTATATTCACTGTCACTTGTGTCAGACTTTTCAGAATCTTCAGAGTCACTGTGTTCTACTGCAGTATAAACAGCTTCAGATATTTCATTTATTCCTAATTGTGGGAAGGAAAGTATATTCCATGCTGACATCACACTGACTGACATTACCAAAAAACATACTGGAGTAAGTACATACATACTGTTATCTTAACTGCCAGTCCTTAAGCTATCAACACTTCCCTTAGTGCCCTATCTCAGTATCAGATTTTGCAAGTATCACCTTCCACATACTCCAACTCACATTTCTATTAGATTTAACAGCTCTCCTTTTACTGCTTTCTTTCCATTACTTGAAAGTTCCAGATTTGTTTAACGTAGGACCAATGCTGGCAAATATGCACATGGGTATTTTTATGCATGTGAAACCACCATAAAAATCAGCTTTTTATAGTTAGTTTTAATAGTTAAAATCTATTTACCTGATTGAGGTTACTTATGTAGATGTTTGCAGATCCATTTTATTTTTTAGAAGACACTATATTTTTAGTGCCTACAAAGTCTAACACCTGCCAAGTGCTATACAACACTAATGTTTTCTAACAACACCTGGCTCCTGTACAACTGGATATATCAGTATGTGTACCTGGAATGAGCTCATTCTTGATTTTTTTTAAAATTTTAAGTAAGGCTGCAATTCTGCCATACTATCTAAATCAGAATAGCACAAAAATCACATTAAAAGATGAAAGCGTTGTGACTAAAATTTGAAACATTAGGTCCTACTATGCTTTAAATTCAAACCAGCTAAGTATATTCTATTTGCCCTGAACAGTTCAAACATTCTCTGTGTTTATGAATAAAACAGTCAAGGTTTTAGAACTTGAAAACTTTAAATTCAAGTTTCCTCAGATTTCCTGCAGATGTGTTCTGTATTCTTGCAACATACTTACCAAGTTGTGCTTTACAACTCTCTATAGTCTTGTCAAGATTAAGCTGGAACCTACTACGTATCTGTCGTTTTGGTGAAATGAGTGGCACCGGGGTGGACTGTTGTTGGACTGACTCACTTAGCTCTTTCAGATCCATTTCAGCTTTGCTGCGATCTGAAAAAGGAATTAAGAAAAATGATTTATAATAATAATAAAAAAATCACTAAGACAAAAATTTTACTGAGCAGCAATGTAGACAAATTGAAACATATTTCATTTCTTTTCTAACTATGATTTGCAAGTCCTACACAACAACTCTAACATGCCTTTAAAACAAGCAATGGTTTTCTCCTGTCAGATACTACATATTTCACATTCAAACTGCATGCATTCATTATATGGAAGCTGTCTCTATTATACGACATTATCGAGAAAACACCAGTCTAGGTTTGTCACTCATCTGACAGTACTTCCACTAAGTTGTTGCTGTTATGTACTACTAGTAGTACATTTTTGTAGGGATCAAGAAATTGAAAATTCAAGTCCTTATAGTCAGAATTTAAGGTCTGAAAGCTCAGGGGAAGAAAAATATAAAGGTGGATGGTTGCACCAGAAATTAATTATTCAAATTTTTTCAATATATAGGAAAAAAAAAAAAAAACCTTCTCTTGAGCTCTCATATATGCTTGTGTTTTTACTCTCAAACATACAAACCAGAATGGTAAAGCTAAAAGTGTTTTAACGTCTAAGTTTCGCCTTTGTTATTTCCATTTTCCCTCACAGGTGATATTTCTGCTCCACAGTCCTATCCTCTACCCTTTGCCAAAACAGTCATCAGGCAAACAGACGGTCAAGGTCAGTGTTGTTTTTTTTTTCCTTTTTCTTTTAAACATATAGGCAGGACATTTCACGATGTGCAATTCATAGAGAATAAAAATTTCTCATTGAAAAGACGTGGACCTCCAATTTGCCATATTAACATTAACCTATTAGCAGAAAGAAAGTAGAATTAAGGGCAGAGAAACCTACTGAGGAGAGATACTTAGGTTTTCTTCTCTAAACTCTTCAATTTTCCCATCGTCCTCTACAATTTTTCACTCATTATTGTGTCAGACTTGTTTTTCTATTTTTTCTGCCTTTTCTGTCCTTCATACAGGGACAGGTTGCATACCAGCAGGA